TCATCTTTGCCACTGCTGACACTGAGGCACTGACCCTTGTGAAGTCGGAGCTGTAGAAGAGACACACCTGCACTGACCTGGGTGAACTGCGCAGCTATCTTGGCTTGCAGATCACCCGGGACTGAGCTCGGCGCACCATCACACTGACTCAGTCACACATGGTGCACCAGGTCCTTCAGCGCTTCGGCTTCCAGTTCTCCTTGCCACAGCCCACTCCTCTGTCTACCGGCCACTCGCTCTCAGCTCCACCTTCGGACGAGTCCGTAGAGCCGAGTGGTCCGTACCCAGAGCTTGTGGGTTGCCTCATGTACCTGATGACGTGCACACGACCTGACCTTGCGTACCCTCTCAGCCTCTTGGCTCGCTACGTGTCTCCCGGCAGGCACCAGAAGGTGCACTGGGATGCTGCGGAGAGGGTACTGCGTTACTTGTGCAGTACGTCGGGCATGGGGCTTGTGCTTGGAGGACGGGGTCCAGTTGTCCTCACTGGTCACGCAGACGCTTCTTGGGTTGACGACTCAGCTACGCAGCGGTCGTCACAGGGTTACACCTTCAGCCTCGGTTCCGGCTCTGTTTCCTGGCGGTCTACCCGCTCGTCTTCGGTTCTCAGCTCCACTTGTGAGGCTGAGATCTACGCAGGGGCCATGGCTGCGCAGGAGCTACGCTGGCTCACCTACCTGCTGACTGACTTGGGAGAGCAGCCTCGTTCGCCTCCAGTTCTGTACGTAGACAACAAAGCCATGATTGCCTTGTGTCAGGAGCACAGACTGGAGCACAGAACGAAGCACATCGCTCTGTGATACTTCAATGCGCGAGAGTTGCAGCACTGTGGCCAGCTTCGCCTTGCGTACGTGGCCACTAGGGCCAACACTGCTAATATATTCACCAAGGCACTTCCGCCTGGTGATCATCAGCGCTTCTCTACTGTTTTAGGCCTTGTGCCTACTTTGCCTCACTTGCTCACTTCGTGACTTTGCTTGTACTGTGATCCATACATACACCTGCATGCTTACACTGACTAGGGCATGATCACTGTATTGTTTGTTCTCTTTTATATAACTCTGCATGTGAACTGGCCTTGTGGTCCTTTGCTTGTGCTCGGACTATGTGGTGACTTTGTGATCCACCCTGAGCTTGCTTTGCTTTTCTTGACTGGTCTTGTGACCACTTGTTCTCCCCAACTTTGCCTATGGGGGTGTGTCAAAATGTTATAGTGCTTACATTTGTGTAGGCTATAGTGGGGTAGCCCATAAGGGGTACAACCCAATCAGGGTTAGTACTTGTACCCGACTGTTTCATAGTTTATTCATTCTCGTTCATTCTTCTGACATGGAGGTGCTAGTTCTAGGGGTGCTGGAGCTGGAGGTGCTGGTACCGAAGAGACGGGAGCTGGAGGCTCGCCTACTGCGTTGCCTGATGCGCGTCCCCACCACCACGACACCCGTTTCCAGGCCCTTCGCCGGCTTGAGCAAGAGGAGCAGGAGCGGGTGGAGCAAGAGAGGCGGGAGCTACAGTGGTTGGACCAGCAGCAGCAGCCGCAGCAGCAGCAGCAGCAGCAGACGCAGCAGCAGCAGCAGCAGACGCCGCAGCCGCCACCTTTGCAGCAGCTGTTCCCTCCAGTGAGTGGCCTTCGGGCCCTTAGTCTTCCTTCCTCTCCTCCTGTTCACTCCCAGTCACCTACTGCGTACGGTCCTACGTTTTGTCCTCCGGACTCGACTCCGGCTGTTTTCTCTCCTCCTCAGTCACGGTCGTCTCCTCCTGTTGTCCCGCACGACTGGACCAGTCGTTGTCCTCCGCGTGCTCGGCCCTCGTCTCCTCTTGCTGACCTCCGCACCTTGTTTTGTTCTCCTCCTCGTCGTTCTCCGCCTATGTCTGTTCTCCCGTCACCTATTGAGTCGTCTCTCACCGTTTCCTCTCACCCTATCACAGACTACTACAGTGCTGCTCGCCCTGTTGTCTCTCGTGTTCTTGCCTCTCTTGTTACCAACCCTCGTGCCTCTCCGTCGTTTGTCTCGGCTCTTGCTGCCGCTGTCACTAACTTTGCTTCCACCCGCCATCTTGACTACGCCACGCGTGTGGTGGTTACTCCACCTCCCCGTCGTCTGTCCGTCGGGGGTGAGTCTGCCCTTGGCTGTGATGTCCTAGAGGACAGGCAGCTTGAGCTGGAGTTCTTAGCAGCCGCTTCCCCCTCTCTCTGCGCCATGCTGCTTTCCCTTGAGGGAGACCCCGACGCCCTTGACATACCGACACATCGCACGTTCCGTAAGGCAGTGTCAGGGGAGTGGGCCTCTCAGTGGAAAGCGGCCATGGATGCAGAGCTAGCGTCTTGGAGATCCACAGGCACGTACGTCGACGCAGTTCCCCCTCCCATGTGGCTCTTCAAGGTGAAGCGGCCACCTGGTTCAAAGCCTGTGTTCAAGGCGCCCTACGTGGCTAGGGGTTTCAGTCAGCGTGAGGGAGTTGACTTCTTCCAGACCTTCGCCCCGACCCCGAAGATGACTACTCTTCGGGTGTTACTGCATGTAGCAGCACAGCGAGACTACGAGCTGCACTCCCTTGACTTCTCCACTGCGTTTCTCTATGGCCGTCTACACAAGGAGATCTGGCTGCGCCGTCCTCCTGACTTCACTGACACCTTCCCACCTGGGACCCAGTGGAGCCTGAGGTGGCCAGTCTACGGTCTCCACCAGTCGCCCCGTGAGTGGCACAACACTCGTCGCTCCACGCTTCGTGACCTTGGGTTTCGTCCTTCCTCTCCCGACCCGTCGTTGTTTGTTCGCACTGGTTCCACTCCTTTCTTTATACTAGTGTACGTCAATGCATTGGTCTTTGCTACAGCAGACAGGGCAGCTCTGACTGAGGTGAAATGCGAACTGCAGAAGAGACACAAGTGCACTGACCTCGGTGAACTGCAGCGCTACCTTGGCCTGCAGATCATCGGGGACAGAGCTGCTCGCACCATCACACTGACTCATTCACACTTGGTGCAGCAGGTCCTTCGACGATTCGGGTTTCAGTTCTCCACCACACAGCCCACTCCTCTTGTCGTTGACCACCGACTCACTGGCCCTTTTCCCGACGAGCCCTTTGAGACTAGTGGCCCCTACGTAGAGCTTGTGGGCTGTCTCATGTACCTGATGACTTGTACTCAGCCGGACCTCGCCTTTCCCCTTAGCATCCTCTCTCGCTTTGTTGCGACTGGGAGACACCGTCATATCCACTGGACAGCTGCTGTGAGGGTGGCGAAGTACCTGGCAACTACATCAGGCATGAGGCTTGTGCTTGGAGGGACACAGCTAGTTGTATTGACCGGTCACTGCGACTCTTCCTATGCTGACGACGTGGAGACTCAGCGCTCGACTCAGAGTTACTGCTTCAGTCTGGATGTTGGTGCTGTATCGTGGAGGTCTACACGGTCGTCGTCTGTGGCTTCATCCAGTGCAGAGGCAGAGATCTACGCTGGTGCCATGGTGGCACAGGAGCTTCGCTGGTTGACCTTCTTGCTCACCGACCTTGGTGAGCGGCCTCGCTCTACACCGACCTTGTACGCTGACAACAAGGCCATGATCCTCCTGTGTCGAGAGCCTCGACTGGAGAGCAGAGTTAAGCATATTGACGTGAGGTACTTCCTCCTACGAGAGTTGCAGCGACGCAGTCAGGCACGCTTGGACTTTGTGGTCTCAGAGGCCAACACTGCCGACGTCTTCACCAAGGCCTTGGCGCCTGGTGACCACCACAGGTTCTGTGTGCAGTTGGGGCTTGTTGAGGTAGGCCCTCGGTTGCTGTAGACTTGCTATTTGCTCTGCTTGTTGTGCTTTGCTGTATATATCCTAGTGAACTCTTGAACTGGCCTTGTGGCTGCTTGCTTGTTGTCGGAATTTGTGTGGTGTCCTTGAGATCCACCCTGAGTTTGCTTTGCTTCTTGCATTGACTGGTCTTGTGACCGTTTGTTCACCCTGCTTGCTTTGATGCCCCTCACTTAGCCTATGGGGGTGTGTCAAATGTTATTATAGGTTCTTAGACTACAGTGAGTAGCACTCTAAGGATTACAACACTTTTAGGGTTGCTATTTGTATCCCTTGTTTTCCTAGTTCACACATTCCGTTGTGTTCCTACTTTGAGAAGTTCATATCAACTGCACCGTCAGGTTGATAAATTCTAGATTCGATGCACATTTCAGAGGGATTGCCCAGATGTCAGAAGTCGAAGAGCAACCATGTGTTGCTACGGTACCGTATGCTGCCAACACATGACACACACAAGCTTGCAGAACTCAGTCTAACGAAATCCATGGAGCAGGTGCTTCAGGCACGCCTCAATAAGATGCATTTCAAGATTTAGGATCCGGAACACTTCGACTTTCTGAACCATGTATTGTGAGTTTCCAACAGGGCATGCAGTTATCAACCCAAACAGTGCACACTGCACATCAACCTGGTAAACAACCACCCTGCACTCTCCCTAGGTCTATCTCTGCTGCAAGGTTGATGGAATCTAGCTACTACCAATCCAAAGCACGCATCCCCAGGCAGGCGTCTGTGCGGTAAGCCCCGCTGTCTTGCGCCCACTCAGCATACAAGGGTGCATGGGTGGCAACGGTTTGTGCATTGGGTGTGCCGGATTAAGACGTGTGAGAGCACATGAACACACGACGTGCCCTTGTGAGCCTAGTTGTCATGCATCAATGTGGCGCCGTTCGAGGGGGTGTGTGGGCGGCAGCTGTTAGTGTTTGCCGAGCGTGTTGCACAAAGGAAATGGGTGTGTGAGGTTGCAGCCGTGGTTGGCAGGGAACAAAGGCCAGGCAGGCGTGCGTGCGAGCAGCGAGAAGTGAGGCAGGTGGTGAGGGAGAGGTTGTTACCGGTATGTGGGTGGTTCAAGGCGAGAGTTAAGGAGGGGAGGCGTGATGTGAGCATGTGAGAGTCAGTCAAGAGTCGAGGCGGGATGTGAGCATGTGAGAGTCAGTCAAGAGTCGAGGCGGGATGTGAGCATGTGAGAGTCAGTCAAGAGTCGAGGCGGGATGTGAGCATGAGCACTTGGGTGGCAAGCGAGCAGTTCTCCTTGGGGCCACTGCACACATGGGAGCGAGGAGGGATGGGGGAGAGAGCGTGGGGAGAGGAGGTCGCACAGACACGAGGCCTGAGAATGATAACAGCTGGAAGGGTCAACAGGCACGAGACCTGGAGGAAGAGCATGTTCTAGAGGGGATGTGGCTGAAGGGCGCAACAGGCATGAGCTTTGGGCCGGCACAGAAGAGGATACTAGCATGGATGTGAAATGGAGGAGGGGATATCAATGATGGCAGGGGTGTGCACGCGATGTGATGGGGTGTGCATGAAATGTGCATTGGGTGCACGGGGGAAAAGAGCACCATAGGGGCGTGGGGGCGATGGGGACATGCGGGCGATGGGGGCATGGGGCCTCACGTGTGCAGCAGCGTTTGCAGGCGAGGGGTGAGGGCGCGGAAGGCCTCAGCACACTCCGCACAGCGTTGCAGCCTGAAGACAGAGGAAGCAGGTGGGAGGGGGGGAAAGGGGGGGTGAAGGAGGAGGGACTAATGGATTGATAAACAATTTGGGACGAGAGGAACTGGGAGGAGATGGAGGAGTGTAAGTCATTCTAGTCAAGTGTATCCCTGCCCCATGCAGCGTCTCCTGGCACCTGCTCCCACCATCACCTCCCCTTCTCGCCCCCCTCCCAAGCACCTTTTCTCATTCTCACTCCCCCTCCCTCAACCCCCTTCACCTCCTCTCGCCCCCATTCACCTTCTCTCACCCCACCCAACCTCCCCTTACCTCCCCTCACCTTGCCTCACCACCCCTCACCCCCTTTCACCTCCCGTCACCCCTCCTCACCGCATTTCCATGTGCAGGTCCACGCCGGGCGAGTGGACGGCAGAGCGGGCGGCAGAGATCCCATCACTGTAGCAGCGCAGCAGCGCGCGCAGCAGCAGGAGGGCGGCGTGCACGCGGCTGGAGTGCGCACTGGCCAGCAAGCCGCCCAGAATGGGCACCAGCGCGGCACAGCCGTCCACTCCCAGGCACTGCACTGCAGCGCTCGCCCCACTCACGCCGCCCATGCTGCTGGCCCCACCGACCCCCCCTCCCCCCCCTGCCATGCTGCTGCTGCCGCCCTGTGATCCCATGGATGAGACGACATCAACCAGAACCTGCGAGGGGAGCGGGGGGGAGTTAAGAGGGAAGTCGGTAGGGGGGTAGGGGGAGGGAGGGGGGGCATGGAGAATAATATTTTTTAGCCATTTTCTACGGGGTGGGAGGTGTTGGCTTGCGGTGCGAGGGAAAGCGCCTGGTTGTTAAAAAGAGAGGCATCCAGGCATGTGCAGGAAGGGAAGTGACAAGGAAGGCTTCGCATGGTGAGTGCTGCGCTGCACTGTGCTTGCAAACGCAACACAAGAGTGTAAGGTCAGGTGACAAGCACGTGAACTCACCCCTGCGTTCCCAATCACCCCCTTTCACCCACTCACCCCTTCGTCCGCAGTGAACGCGAGGGCATCAGCCACGAGCCCCTCTCGCCACATCTCCCCCACCTGCCTGGCGAGGCACATGAACCCGCCCTTGCATCCCAACTCACCCCTTCATCCGCAGTGACCGCCAGGAACGCAAGGGCTTTGGCCACGAGCCCATCGCGCCACATCTCCCCCACCTGCCGCACCGCCTGCCTGTGTACTACCATCCTCTCTCCCACTCACCTTCCCCTTCCACTCACCCCTTGCCCCACCCACTCACCCCTTCATCTGCAGTGACTGCCAGGAACGCAAGAGCATCGGCCACGAGCCCGTCTCGCCACATCTCCCCCACCTGCCGCACCGCCTGCCTGCGCGCCGCCAGCTGTCGCACCATCCCCTCATGCCCATCCGTAACTGCCGCCACCACCGCCGCTTCATCCTCGCTCGCTTGCCCACCTCCCTGCTGCTGCTGCTGCTGCTGCTGCTGCTGTGGGTGGTGGTAGTGCCGCTGCTCCTGCTGCTGCTGGGGGTGGTAGCGCTGTTGCTGCTGCAGCTGCTGCAGCTGCTCCTGCCTCTCAGCCTCTCGCAAGAAAGGAATGAGGTCCCCTGCCCCTCCTCCCATCCGCCTCTGTGCCACCCCAGCACCTGCCCTCGCCTCCATCCCCCCCATGCTCCCTCCCCCTACTCTCCCAACCACACCACCACCACCACAAGTACCACCACCAGCGGCCGCGGCTGCTGCTGCTGCTGCTGCTGCTGCTGCTGCTGCTGCTGCGCCATGGCCTGCTTCATTACCTTCCCTGCTGATCCCACCCTCACCACTTGCCCCCGTCCCTCCACCCCTCCCTGCTGCTCCAACCGCGCCCTCCTTCCCCTTCTCAAACCCACGCCTCCTTTCCTCCTCCCTATTCACCCTTCTCCCCACTCCTCCGCTCCCTGTCACCTTCTGATTGGCTGAAACCTCCACGTCAACCAGCCCTCCGTGGCGGATCACAACAAGAGGCCCGCTTCCTGGAACCTTCTCGCTCTGGCTCCTAACCATCCCCGCCATCTCCCCCCCACCCCCCTGCTCCACCTCCTCCCCTTCCTCCACGTCCTCATTATCTACAGCATACGGCGGCCGCAGCCTCGGCACAAACAAGCCTAGCTTCCGAACCAGCGAGCTCTGGCTCGGCATGCTGCCGGACCTGCCCTCAGAGAGAGCCAGCACTGGAGACCCCTGCCTCTTCCCCCGAGCCTTGCTGGAGGTTCGGAAGCCCCAGCTGCCCACGGAGAGGGAGGCGGAAGCAGAGGAGCAGGCAGGGGGAGGGGATTCTTGTGGCTGTGTGTCGGCTGCATATGGGGCTCTGAGACTGGCGGCATAGGGGGGGATGGATGGATGATCGCCGCTGCTGGTGTGGGTGCGGGCGTTAGCGTTGCCGTTGCCATTGGCATTAGTGGAGGCATTGGTAATGTTGGTCATCGTGCTGTTGACGGCTGACTTAGCAGCAGCAGTAGCAGAAGCAGGAGCTAGATCAGAAACAGGCCTGCTACCACCACCCCTCGCTCCAGCAGCAGTAGCAGCAGCATCAGTACTGCCATCCCCCTGACTGCCTCCCCCATTACCACCTGACCCAAAAGTCATTCTCCGAGCCGTTTGCCCCAGCCTGCTGAAGGAGCTGCCACCAGCACTACCAGACGCACCAGCACCAGCACTACCAGCAGCAGCGTCGGCGTCCCTACCACCACTCCTGGAATCCACCCCGCCCTCCTCCACTACCTTGCCTCTCTGCCTCTCCCCCGCCCTCCCCTCACTCCCTCCCCTCTCCGCCTTCCTCCTCTCGCTCCCTCCGCTCCCCCCACCCCTCTTCTCGCCCGCGCCTGTCTGCTCCTGCGAGGAGAGCGAACCAATCCAGTCAGACACGCGGGACACGAGGTCCACTATGGGCGACCGCCCTGATACCGCGCCCTGCCCGCCCCTCGCCGCCGCTGCCTGTGCTGCTGCTGCTGGTGTGGCTGGCGTGGTGGCAGCAGCAGAGGCTGGAGCACCAGCGGTGGAGGCTGGAGCTGCAGCGGCAGCAGCAGGGTGGGTCCGACCCGCTGTGGGGGACGCTGGATGTACAGCAGCGGATGGTACGCGTGCACCTGGTGTGACTGTAACGGGAGTGGCAGAAGATGCGGGTGCAGTGCGCGCAGAGGCAGCAGGGTAGTGACCGGTGGGGTTGGAGGGGGAGGAGGGAGGGGAGCGGCGAGGAGACGCCAGGGAGTGCGTGTGTGAGCCGCGTCGAGAGGCAGCATGGCCAGGAGTAGCACTAGCAGCTGCAGTGGCGGTGGTGGTGGTTGTGGTTGCATGCGATGCTGAGCTGCCACGTGCCAGTCTATGACTCGTGCACTCGTCGTCAGTGCTGGTGTCTCCTCCCGTGGTATATCCTCCATAATTCCCCCCCTTATCACCACCACCGTTACAATCATCACGACCCAACACCACCGCTGCCACAACACCCCCTCGCCCCCCCTTGCCCTCCCTGCCCCACCACCCGCCTTCACTGCTGCACCGCGCAGCACTCCCCCGGTCGCCCCTCTCACCCCTCCCCACCCCTCCACCCGCCCTCTGCGGCGACCTGACATACCTCCTTGGCGTTCCCACTGACACACTGTCGTCCCACTCCTTCTCTCTCTCCCTAGCTCTCGCTCGCTCTCTCTCCCTCTCCCCGTCGCAGCACGCAGAGGGCGAGGGCGAGGGGGAGGGGGCGCGGCGGGAGCGCTGAAGCGAGGCGATGGTGGGGGCAAGGTGGCGGGCTAGGGAGCGCGGGAGAGAGGAGGAGCGCGCCCGCGAGGAGGGGAGCGTGGCGGGCTCTGATTGGCCGGGAGATTGTGGGGGGAGGGGAAAGGGGAGGGATAGGGGGATGAGGGGAAGGTGAGCGGTGGAGGTTTGGGAGGGGGGTAAGGGGGGAAGAGAGATGGGTGAAAAGGGGAAAAGTGGATGGAGAAGAGGTGTATAAGGGCTGGACGGGGGACACACAGAACTGCTGCAACATGACTTTGGCTCAGAGAAACACTCATATTCATGCAGGAATCTCTACACCCGTATATGTGCACACGTACTGTGATGCTGGCAGTCCGGCCCCTCCACGTCACTGTCACCCCCCTCAGGCGCCACCTTCCCCCACCCCCCGAACCCCCCCGCCCCCGCGCCCCCCAGACTGCCCCTCAGGCTGTTACGGCGCGACAGGGTGGGGGAGGGGGAGGCGGAGGGGGAGGCGGGGGAGGGGCGGAAGAGGGAGGAGGAGGAGAGGGAGGGGGCGAAGGGGGAGAGGGCGGAGAAAGGGCTGCGGGAGTGGGGGAGGTGCGGGGGGGGCGAGGGGAGGGGGAGGGGTTCGTCGAAGCACAGCTCTGGGTCCTTGCTGAATGGCAGCACTCGCTGGGAGGGGGCAGAGGGGGTGGGGGAAGAGGGGGAACGCGGGGAGAGAGGGGATGAAGAGGGGGGCGAGGGGAGGGGGAGGGGTTCGTCGAAGCACAGCTCTGGGTCCTTGCTGAATGGCAGCACTCGCTGGGGGGGGGGGGAGGGGAAGGGTGAAGGAGGAAGGGGGAGAGGCGATGAGGTGGGCGGGCGGAGGACGCGGGGGGGAAAAGGAGAGGGAGAGGGGGGGGGGATATGGAGGAGAGACGGAGAAGGGAGGGGAAGCAAGAAGGGTCGGTGCAATAGGTGAAGGGGGTGTGGGTGACAGGCACAGCGACATGGTGGGATGGCAAGTATGGCAGGGTTAATACACATGCTTGCTACGGCGCCTCAAGATCATCGGTTGAGAAGGAGACATACTCCCTCAGGATCAACGGTCGAGAGGGCAAGAGATTACCTCAAGATCGACGGTCCAGAGCGTGACAACGGTCACGGATGCAGAGACAGCCACCAGGGAGGTGTCATTCACGCTGACGTCAGCGACCTTCGGCCATCCCACGTGGACAGTGTCGAAGCACCTGATTGGCTCCCAGCCCCACACCTGATTCCGGGCAGCAGCAGCGGGAGGGGCGGCGAGGCGGAAGGCACAAGGGTTGAGGATCCGTCAGGCAGAGGAAGAAATGATCCCAAGGGATAAAAACGGGTACAAAGCGGTTGATTTCTCAAATCCCGCCTTGCGGCACGGCGCACTCACCTTGAGGTGGTCAGTGCAGGGCGCGAAGAGCGCATCCCCCTGGGGGGAAAACGCGAGGGCGGTGGTGCCGCCCGCGCCGGGCGGCGTGCAGTCAACGCAGTCAAGCGACTCGAGGTCCCACCAGCGCACGGTGCGGTCGCGCGCGGCGGACGCGAGCAGCAGCTCCTGCGGGTGGAAGTCGAGCGCCGCCACCGCGCCCGCGTGCCCCGCCAGCTGCGCGAACAGCCGCCCCTGCGCCAGGTCGAACAGCTGCGCGCGGCGGGATAGGCGGAAGGACACGGAGGAGGGGGAGCAGGGAGTGAGAGTTGAGGGACGAAAGCGTGGGAGGCACGTGGTGGGGATTTGCGCGGGGTTGGGATAAGCTCATTCCCACTTCTCTTCCTTCCCCTGCGCTGCTCACCTTGATGCGCCCATCTTGCCCGCCTGCCACCACCCACCGCCCATCCGGACTGAACCGCACGCACCCTACAGTTTTCCCGCCCTTCCCCCCGCATTCCGCTCCGCCCCCTGCTCCCGCTCCCCTCCCCTCCGCCCCTCCGCCTCCCACAGCTCCGCCGCCCTCTCCCGCGTCCCCCGCGCCCATTCCGCGGAAGACGTGCGCGGCTTCCTTCTGGCGCGGGTCCCACACGCGCGCGGTGCCGTCCGCGGGGCTGAGCGACGCGCACAGCCCGCCCGCGGAGTACAGGTCGAGCGCGATCGGCGCGGCCTTGTGGCCCGTCATTGTGCGGATGGCTGGGGGGCGCGGGGAGGGGATGGGGGGAAAGGAGGCGGCGATGAGGGGAAGGGGGGAGGCAAAGAGGAGGCGCGGGGAGGGGATGGGGGGAAAGGAGGCGGCGATGAGGGGAAGGGGGGAGGCAAAGAGGAGGCGCGGGGAGGGGATGAGGGGAAAGGGATGGCGGGAATGGAAGGTAGACGGCAGGACTGGGTAAGGCTTATGCAGCCTCGCTCAGAGGCGTAATTGCCATCGCTCCTTTCACCCCAGGTTTCGGCCGCCCCTACTTTAGCCACCATCTCTAGCCATTTCTATACCCACCGTATCTATCCGCCTTCCTGCTCCGCGTCAACACCCCCCAACTTCCGACCACACAGCCCCCCTCTCACACCGCCCACCACCAGCCCCAACAGCCTCTCCCTCACCTCGCCCCTCCACCACGTCCCGTTCCCCCCTCACCTCGCCCCTCACCATACCTCCCCCACCTCACCTCGCCCCTCCCCATACCTCCCCCCCTCACCTCGTCCCTCCACCAGGTTTCCCCCCTCCCCCTCACCTCGCCCCTCCACCAGGTTCCCCTCCTCCCCCTCACCTCGCCCCTCCACCAGGTTCCCCCCCCCTCACCTCGCCCCTCCACCAGGTCCCAGAGCTTCACGGCGCCCGCAGCGCCGCCCGCCACGGCGAGCTCCTCGCTCGCGTCCAGCAGCACGCTCTGGATGGCGCTCGTGTTGCCGCGCAGCGACTGGCGGCGTGGGGAGGGAGAGAGGTATGCGGGAACGGGAGGTAGATGCAGTGAAGGGGAGGCAAGTTGCGGGACGGGGAAGATAGATACAGGGAACCGAATGGGGTAAGAAACGTTCTCCTCGCTTGTGTCTAGCAGCACGCTCTGGCGACGTCGTAGCACGAAACGGATGTCCTCGCAAATGTTCCTCTTGCATGTTCCTCTAACCTTTCACGACGCTTCGGGTAAAGATTGATTCGCGAATCCTACCAGCAACGGCGCCCGCTGACGGGTGGACCATAGGTGCAGCTTCTTATCGTCGCCGCCCGTGATAAACCTCTCCGCCGACTTCCTGCCGATGCTTATGCAATTCACGCTCGACGAATGAGCGGCGAAGGACCCTGGAAGCCGGGAGGGGAGAAACGTGCAGATTATAATGCTGCGAATGCTGTGGTAGCTCTGATCAATGCCTTTAGAGCCTGAGACCAGCGGAGCTGTATTTTGCCATACATCGGGGAAAACGCTAAACAACGAATGAAGGTACAAGCTGTTTCTACGGGAATTCTGCGAAGTCGGGATGAACGGAAATTACATGTTTTCTGGCCTCGACGGCCTTTGTTCCCTCCCGGTTGCATGCTTCCCGTCCAACACGGAATTAAGAGAGACAGATACAGAAGTGACGAGAACTCTATACTAGTTAAATCGCGGGTCCCTGTTCTGCTAAGCTCGGCAAGGTTATCCTACTCCATCGTCAGTGGACAACGGCATGGCCATGGTGTTGCACAGCCAACTCCCTGGCTACGTATGTACTCTTCGAAGTATCCGTCAGTGGCTTGAAGAATATGGTTGATTGACGGTGGTCCCTGTGCCAGGCTCAGCCTTGGGCTTTGTTTTGACACAGCCCTGTCAGAAATCGCAGTTGTACCTCGGCGATATCGATCGGACTACTCGAAGTTCGCCAAACTCATCGTCAGGCTTTCGCACGGATAGTTACAACCTCTGTCATGTCTCTGTCGGGATTCCCGAATCGCGCGCGCGCAGTCCTTCAATTCCAGTCAACGAATGGCGGTTCGCTTCACTGTCGGAGCAAAAATGAATCCCAACGGGTGGAGAACTGGGTTGTGAAAAACTGGTGAGAAACTGTGCCCCGAGTGAGGATCGAACTCACGACATTAGGATGGCTCCGCCCAGCAAGCTGCTATGAGACCTACGCGCTACCGACTGCGCCATCGAGGCTTGTGCCGAAAACTAACTATTACATTAAGAATCATTAAAAATCAACTACACTTCATTCCTTGAGATGTACGCAGCGCAAGTGGTTGGTTTGCTCAAGCTCCGCCTCGATTCTTCCATATTACCCTTCGGAAGCAGGTCACTCCTCCTGACTTGGTACATATACAAGCACGCAGAGCAGATTTTCCACAACTGCTTTCAGGCTCGAATTCACTCTGGACGACTGTGGCTTCGATTACCTTCACTATGGCAGCGATGACTTTCCCAGTCGCTGGAGCCTTCATGTTACTCCTGTTTAGTACAACTATGGTGTCTGGCCAAACCGACAGTAACTGGGTTATCAGCTCCACGCTCCTATCCGTAAGTGTTTTTCTCCAGTGCTACTGACATGTTTTGCTCTTGTGCTGTCCTTTTTCTGATTCTGTTTCGCAATTCAGAACTGCACGGCTTATTATGATGACAATGTGCTGCAAAGAGGCGACTTTGGAGACGGCTTTGTGTTTGGGGTGGCTACAAGTGCGACTCAGGTTGGTTGTGCTTGCGGAGCTTGCTCTTTCAGCAATGTCAAGCTCAAAACTTAAGATCCTCGACGTTCAGGTTGAAGGAGCACCATCGGAGGGGGGTCGAGGGCCCAGCATTTGGGACGTGTTTGCCGCAGTTCCTGGTACAATGACTACCTATCGTCTTGTCTCAATGGCAATCCGCGCCTCATTAGATTAACATCATCATCACCCTTTACAGGAAAAATTGCTGATTCTTCTCTACCCAATATTACCACGGATCAGTACCACAAGTTCTTGGTGAGCTTCCTCTCTTTTCCCGTCGATTGTCATAATGTTTTTCGAGCTTGCTGTTCTAATATTCTACTTATTCAGGAGGACATCAAGATTATGAAAGAACTGGGCGTTATGTCCTACCGACTATCACTCTCGTGGTCGAGGATCTTGCCAGGTCTGGTGGATGTTGTTAAATGTATGCTTGCCGTTCCAATGATTGCAACAGAGGTTTGATCGAGTTCACTCTGCAGAAGGCATTGGTGAGGTCAACACGGCAGGTATCGACCACTACAAAACTGTTATTGCGGCACTGAAGGCAGCAGGTACCTGTTTCGCACTTTTCTGAATATGTGTGTGGTATAAGAAGCCTCCCCCTATTGCATCTAACTGGTGGCAAATTAATCAATTGCAGGCATTGAGCCAGCAGTGACTCTGTATCACTGGGACTTGCCGAATTATCTTCATGTGAACTGGGGTGGCTGGCTGAATGCTTCTGTAGTGTAAGAAATTGTTTTTATGTGGTGCAACCAATTACATTGCGGTTTGCTTCATGTGAGCTATGAGCAGGGAGGCGTTCACCAACTACGCGGAAGTTTGCTTTGAGGCGTTCGGTGCTGATGTGAAGACATGGATCACTTTTAACGAACCAATGGAAACCTCGATTCAGGTAGTGAGAGCTTTTCAAGCTATTTCCTGACTTCGACATTACGACCTCCAAATCGACTCATTTGCCTGTATAGGGATACGGGATAGGAGGAATGGCTCCAGGAAGATGCTCAGACAGAGAAATGTGTGAAGAAGGGGATTCTGCAGTAGAATCGTACCTTGTCGCTCATAACATATTGAGATCACACGCTTCTGCTGTTGCTTCTTACAGAGCCAATTATCAGGTCAGTCATCATCGCTGCTATTTCATTCTGCTCACTTTCGCACACACATGGACTTGGAAACTAACCTCCCATTGCTGTTATGACTGCAGAAGCTGCAGGAAGGCCGCATTGGCATCACACTAGACTCCCAATTTTACTTCCCCATCAATCAGTCCGATGAGAACGTTGCAGCAGCTAACCGAGCTCTTGAATTCTCATACGGATGGTAGGCTTTCTTACATCCATCCAAGCATCTCAGTCTGTGCAGGGTTGTGCTAACGAACTTCATGACTTCAGGTTCGCTGACCCAGTTTACTTTGGAGACTACCCAGAGTCCATGCGAACTCTTGTTGGTGACCGTCTGCCTCAATTCTCAGCTGCGGAAAGGCAGCAGCTTATTGGTTCTGCAGACTTCTTTGGGCTCAACTTCTACACTGCTCTGTATGTCTGGCAAGGGTCTGCCAGTGCGCCTGGAACCGCTTGGAGTGACAGCCAAGTGGGAACCTCAAGCACCAACCCACTGACTGGTGAAGAGATTGGTGCATCAGTGAGTTGACATGGCATCTGTTCCTTCAGCTCATGCTATCATCAGCATTTGGCTTGAACAATACACTCTTCCTAACATCACCATTTCCCCTTTTTTCACAGACTGGCTCATCTTGGCTGAAGGTGGTTCCAGAAGGCATGTATGGAATATTGATGTGGATCACAGGGCGTTACAATAGCTTTCCGATCATGATTACTGAAAACGGTATGGGTTGGTTGGATGAGTCTTTTGGGCTGTATGAGAATGTTTCGAGTTCTTCACTCATGACATGCTTGTGCTTCAGGCTCGAGTGATGTAAATGACCCTGACATTCCATTGGAGACTGCACTCTGTGACGATCAGCGTCTGAACTTCTACAGGGACTACCTCAGCAATGTGCTTAAGGCCAAGAGGTAGGAGATGTTCTCCACTTCCCATTGGTTTGTGTGCCCTCATGGAACCTGTCATACTAAGATATTTCCCATGCGATGACTGCAGGGATGGAGCAAATGTACAGGGGTACTATTCGTGGTCCCTTCTGGACAACTGGGAATGGGCTCGTGGCTTCTTGGAGAGATTTGGCATTGTCTTCGTTGACTTCTCTAACCCTGACCTTCCTCGGTACCCCAAGGCATCAGCATTCTGGTGGCAGAAGTTTCTTAGCACTTGAGCTAGACTCCTGCATCTGCTCCGGTTTGTTGGGCATGGTTAATCTGAGTGATGTGGACCATTTGTCTTGCCACTGCTGTAATGGTGACCCTTGATTATCAATGTAAAGCAAAGCAACAAATATATGGTACCTTTCAGCAAGACAGGAATAGATATAGAAATGAATAAACAAATTGGCAAACAAAATAATGAGCAGACACATAACGCTATAGCGCAGCTCAATATGCTGCGGCATGTATGAATGAATAAATGAATAAACAAATAAATAAATTGAAGGGTGAAAGTTCCTCGGGTCCATTCGCTGGATCTTCTGGTCCAGCTGGCTGCATGTTCTCCAGCCTCCTTTGCTGTGCCATCCCTCGCAGGCGGCTGCTTTCCCCGGTATGTCAAGGGTATTATGGTTCAACTAATCTAAGCCACCCTCTTTCTTGAAAGCCCGGAATTTCCACCCCCCTCACACACCGTCACTGACCATTTCCCCTCGCCTCCACCGCGCCACCACATCCACCACCACTGCTCGCACCTCACGCACGTACTGGGCCACCCCGCCTTCCCCACTTGCTGTTTTTGTATGTGAAGCCTCCTCTTCGCACTCGTTCACTTCCGCCCCTGGTCTTCCCATTCCCTCAAGCTGCTGCTCCTGTTCAGGCGCTGCAGCTGCTGATGAGCCTGGAGCACCAATTGCAGCAGCAGACGCAGCACTAGGAGGTCGAGCAGCCAGTGCAGGTTTAAAGTCAGGAGCAACGGGAGCAGATGGGAAGGACGCAGCAGGGTCGGTGTCAGCGGCCAGAGCAGGGCAGGCGTGCAGCAGCAGCACGTGGGCAACACGCGAACCACAGGAGGCAGACTCGAGGCTGGCGAGGCGCAGAGGGAAGGGCTGTGGGCGCAGCAAGGGAAAGGGAGGGGGAGAAAAGGAGGTCAGGGTGAATGGGTAGGACAAGGTGAAGTGAGAAGAAATGGGAGGGAAGGCTAGCAGGGCTGCAGGCTGACGTGGCATGCAAAGAACATGGACATTGAGGGTGTCTAATCCATGAATAGACCATGCAGGTTGTTAGTCCTACCTTGAGGGCCGCCTGGATGGCAGGCAGCAGACCATCCCCGTCCTCGCACCAAACGCACACACACACCACCCTCTCCCCCTCGCTCCCTCGCTTCCTCTTGCGCCCCGCTAGCCCTTCTCCTCCCCTCCGGTCCACCTCTTCCTGCTCCTCATCCTGCTCCCCCCCCACCTCATCCCCCACTTCATCCGCCCTCTCCTCCTCCGCCACATGCGCCCACACCAGATCTACCTCCACTGCATCGTCCTCCCTCGGAGTGGCTTCAGGAGCCCTGCCACGGGCCAGCAGGCTGGAAGCAACCAGCCCTGCTGCTGCTCCTGCTGCTCCTTCTGCTCCGTCTGCTCTCTCTGCTCCTTCCTCCTCTCCCTCTCCCTCTGCTCCCTGCCCCTCCCCTGCCTCCCCTTCTGCTCCCTCCTGGTTCCCCGTCCCCTGCTTCCCCCCCTCCCCTTCACACTCCCCCTCTCCACTCCGCCCGCAACTTCCCCCCAAGCCTGCCCTCAGCGCCCGCAGCTGCGCCACGGCTTCCGCCAGCACGCTCGCCTTGTCCGCCCTCGCCATGGCCGCGCCTGGCAGCAGCGCGCGCAGCACGCTCAGCTGCTGGTTGATGCGCTCGCGCCTGCGCTTCTCCGCCTCGCTGTGGCTCCGCGGACCCTTCTCGCTCCAATCAAACGCCATCCGCTCCTGCTCCCGCCGCCGCCTCTCCGCCTCGCCCTCGCTACGCCCCTGCGCGCCTCCCCACGCGTCCGCCACAGGTGCAGGGGGGCCGTGGCCCCATCCAATGGGAACCGGGGGGATGTGCGCTGCGTGCGGTGCTGCGTGCGCGGGGGTGTGTGACGGGGCAGCACTGGGTGCAAGAGAGGGGGTGGAGGAGACGGAGAGAGGCGAGGTCAGCAATGCGAAACCAGGAAGACCACACTGCTGTTGCACTTGCCCGTGCCCTTCCTCGTGCTGCTCCTGCTGCAGCTGCAAGTGCTCCAGGTGTTTCTGCTGCGTGCGCCGCCGCTTCACTCTCTCCCGTGCGCCGTGCTCCAGAGCCTGCAGAATCCGAGCCGCCTGCATCTGACCAACGCTCTTCGACCTGCTGCCACGTGGCACCGGCCCGGCGGGTCCTGCCCCCTGCGGGTCCAGGTGCGCGCTGTCGCCTGCGCGAGCCACGTCATCGCCGCCCGGGAAAGCACCAGCAACGGCGGAAGCTCCGCCAGCGGCTGCGCCAACAGCGGCTGCGCCAACAGCGGCTGCGCCGACAGCACGGGCATTGGCGCTGGTAATGGCGGCAGACGCGGGCCGAGTGGGAGGCGCCATGGCCCCGCCGCTCCTGCTCCTCCCTTCCCTGCCTCCGAACCCCCAATCGTTTCCGCTGCGGCTTTGGTTGATGCTCGGACTCCACGGATTCTGTTGCCCCCTACTCCCGCTCGCATCCCCGCTATTGCTTATCGCGACACCATCTACAAGCTGCTGCGACGCTAATCCAAGGTCTTCCGCAAGGGCATCTGCACTGCTACCGTCGCCAGTCACCCCGCCTCCCCTTCCCGCGCGGAAATCGCGGAAGTCGGGTGCAAGCGACAGCAGCGGCGACGGCCTCGCGTGTGGAGGACACGTGTCGTCCGTTCCAACCGCCCTCTCAAACATATGGTTGTATCGCCCGAATTCTCGCTGCTCTCCCGTCGCACCGCGCCGCGCTCCCAGATCGCTATCTCGCCGCGTTTCCCGCTGTTCGAACTCATCGCGGCGCTCCTCCCGCTGCAGCTGGTCCAGCTGCTCCGCGACCGCCAACTGCAGCCCGCAACTCCCGCCGCCTGGTGCGCGCAGCCTTTGAGGCTCCCTAAAACCGCGGCCCGGAGTTCCGGACGCTTCCCAACATGCGTCGCCGCCAGAAGCGGGAGTCCTATCATGCGGTGCGGTGGGCGATTGGAATGAGGGGCGGGGGAGCGAGTCGTGCGCGCTGCGGAGCTGCGATAGCAGAGCCGCGTCCGCCGCAGTAAGATCATTCGAACCGCCCGCCGCGGGCTCCTCCCCGCTCCCGCTCGTCTCCCACGTGCGCTCCGCGTTACTCCCGCCGCCGGCGCTACCCCCCACTCCGCCGCCACTGTAATCCGCGTGCTCACTGCTGCCGCCTCTTGCTTCGCCGCGTCTTGCGGCGTCGGCCGCGGCCTTGCTTCGCTGCTCCGCCTGTCCCATCTGCCGCATCTGCCGCATCTGCTCTAGCAGCAGCAGGTGCGACAACGCAGGCACGTCGCAGCCCGCCCAGTCAACGGCGCGCTGGTCAACGGCGCGCTGGTCAACGGCGTCAACGGGTCGCCACGAGTTGTGATTCAACGCGGACGCCGCTGCGGCGATGCTGTCGGAAGTGGAAGAGGCCATCTGGATGCCGCTTCTTGCGCCGCTAGCTCCGCCGTTGATTGCGGTGTGTTGCGGGACCCATGTGCGGGTCGCCACGTGAGGAAAGGATTCCGCTGCGGCGCGCGAAGCATGCCAAACCGCTTGCTGACTCGGCCCTGCCGATGGAGTCGCGCCGTCAAAATGCAAACTGTGCGACAGATTTCTCGGGAGCTGCCTGCTGGGCGACGTGTGCGACAGTTTCGCCAACGCAGCCGCGGGATTCGCGAGGAGGAAGGCGAGAGTTTCCGAATCCAGACTTGCCGCGTCGCCTCGCGAGTCGCACAAATAACTCGGGGTGGCCAAGGGACGTTGGACGCCTAGAGCCGCAACGGACGCCATGGCAGGAAAACTCGCCGCTTCGCCTGCCGTAATTGCAGCTGAGCCTACTCGGCCTTCGACGAGCGTGGGAAAGAACCTCGAGAACTCCAACTGACCTTGAGATGCGAGGCTCTGTGGTGGCGCGCGCGGATCGTCTGCCGTTGGTGCGTGCTGATTGGATGCGAGATTCCGGCGACTAGACGACATGAGAGGCGTTTTAAAGACGCAGGTTCAAATGAGGAGCTGTGTCTAATCGGGGACCATCGACGGAAGGGGGAACCCGCGAGAGCGGGAGACATGGGAGTCGGAAGTCGGAAGTCGGAAGGAAAAGCGAATTCGCATTCCTTATTCCGTACAACGTGGCGAAGCGCAGCTACCCTTTGTGGCGGAGAACACTGGCGGGAGGAGTGAGGTTGTTCACGGCGAGACTACGTTGAATTCCTGCGACAGCCATAATCTGCTGAAACACTGTATATGCCGAACTACGCGCAGCCGCTGCGTCTACCTAACGATGTCTGTGTTCGCACTTGAAATAACACACAACTGTTCTTGGATCTTGAAAATGACGACTCGCCATTTTTGCGCAAAAAACCATGTTCTGCTCAGGGTCGTGCTGGGTTTCGGGTGAAGGAAGGCATTGGATTGTCGAGAAAGGGTGCGGGCAAGGAGGCGAAGAGACAAAACTTGAGCTATGAAAGCAAGTAGCGTGAGACAAAAGGGAATGCTTGAAGTGGACGGAAGCGAATGTTGCTTCTCTTGAATCCATCACGTGATCAGCCCATTCCAGTCAGAGCGCCGCACCGCATCGCAAAGCGAATGCACTGAACTGTACTGTATATCCTTCAATCTCTCGCCTCGCCGCCTTCCGTTCAGCCACCCACCCCGCGCTGTCGTGGCGTGGCCTTTACCAATCCCTTCGCATGACCCATCAGCGTCAACCTTTGGACGCCGCTCCAGGCGGAGGGAAGCAAATGTGATCGAAGCGATTTGATTGGTTTACTGCGCCGTTCTGAGTTTCCACACGAAATGCCTCGAAGTCTGGTTCTGGCGCTGCTTTGCTTGAATATGTACGGGTATTGAGAAAACAGTTTACCAGTTGTGAGTGCTTGTCTTACGGTCCCTCGACACCACAGTGACCTTCCACCCCCAGCGTTGTGCAGTCTCTGGTTTTGTAGCTCTGGAAACTGGTTTTCACACCAAGCAGCACCACAGAAGAACAGCAGCATCACGATGCATCACAATGCAGTGGTTGTTTCTGAAACTTGGCCTGAACCTTGAGGGCTCGTTGTGGTGGGGACTCGGGTCCAGTTGCCTTGCCAGGCTTCGTTCAGGTACTCGAACTTTTTCGGCAACGCCTCGATGCAGAGGACTAGGAAGAAATCTGTTATTACTGTGTGGGTGAAGGAAACAGAGGTGTGGTGGTGGTGGTGGGCCCACAAACGGTTTTGTAGCAACAAAACTTAGATTTTGTGAGATCGATACCTCTTGATCTTTGCTAATCAAAGAAGTTATTGCAATTTCATGGGCTTGATAAATATATACTGTAACCACCATCTCCCGGCGCAGAAGAACGAATATGATCCCGAGTGATGGGGCGCACACACGCCTAAATGAAACGTTGATGTGGGCAGCAATTCACGTGAGCCTGGCAGCAATGACATGGACGATGCCTACTTGCTGCTCAATTCGCCAATCGGCTGCCATTTACCAAAACACAAGAAACGAAGCCAACCCCACTGACTTCGGCTGCAGCATTTTCTGTCGCGGGTCACTCTCGGGTCTCGAGTCTTGTATCGATCGATACAGTGTTCATCAATCAGACTCATTAAGTACTTTTATATTTGTACGGAATTTTCTCGACATTCCTTACCACGACCATCAACATCGCGTATAGCAGCAGCTGTGGTTCGCCCGTTACTGCTAACAGGGCTTCGCCAACTTCGCGCACACTGTTTCACCAAACCTTGCACTGCTGGCCCAGCCGATTCGGCCTACGCTTCGGGACTAGCCCGAACCTCCATGCCAGCGTAGGACTTGTTGGAAACAACTGATTTAAGCGCCTCTGTCGTGTCGAAACACCAAGACAGAAGCGGAACAGATCGTATCGAAACATCGGTGAGTCAACCCTCGGAGGTTGAACAACTGCTGGAGGTTACGCGAAAGTCAAAGGTCAGCGACCTTTGACCTGACAACTGCAGCGCGACAGCAAGGACAAACAACTGTCTCGATACTGAGCAGTTGCCCAAGTCGACACTGTATCGAACCGCAACAGCAACAGTAAAACAGTTATTAACTGTATCTCTTCATATTCCTTTGTATTCTTATAAAAGCTTGTATCTCTTTTGTTATTATCAACTTACTTTGCCCTCACATACAGGGCTGACTTTATCAGACTAAAATAGTCTGATTGTCTGAAATCTCAGGGTATTTTCCTACGGATCCTGTTTTTTCAGACTTGTAAGATTTTCAAACATGAGTGCCTCAGAATTACTTGGTTTTGGATCCTGAGATTTTCAGAGTACTGACTTAGCCGATAATGGGTCTTCATACTACAGGGAGTACGGATCCTGAAATGCGGATCTGTGATTTCTACGTACATTCCGCTACGTCATATGTTGCCAGTGTACGAACACACTTCATGGCGCTGTCACGCGCAGAATCTGTCCTTGGCAACTTTTGCCACCCTTTTCCCTTAGAAATCTGCCAACTTGGCTCACTCTTCCACTCACGCGGGACCATCACTGCAGCTACGCGGTGCCAGCGAGGGAAACTGGTTAGCGTTGCGCCCCACGTGCTACATTTGTGGCAGTACTGTACTGCAGTGGTTGTAGTGTGTTCTGAGTACTTCAGACTTGTGTTTTTGCGGAACCTGAAAAATCAGAGTGGCCATTCTCTGGGAAATATGCCTCAGACTAAAAATTTTCAGAGCCCCCAGAACATCAGACTGGATTTTTTTGAATAGTCAGCCCTGCTCACATACCAGCGCAAGGTGGTTCACAATCTTTTATTAAAACGCTTCCGCTATTACATCATCCTACTCTTGAATTCTGTCCTGTAAAGATCCTAAGGGCTTTCTCAGCCCAACATGGTATGAGAGCAGTCAGGACAAATTCAACTACAATCAAGACATCTACGACATCACAAGAAATGGCAACGCAGAAGGAGAGAAGCTCCTCTAACGGCTCTCCTGGCACTACCCCTACTCCACCTCCTGCCTCTGGCCTACAGACAGAGGAGGGTACGGCAACAAGACCAAGGGCATCGTCTTCGGAGACTCCCGCAAATCAAGCCGCGGCCTTCGATCCAGACATGATGGAGAAGTTCTTCTCCTTCATGTCCTTCTACGAACAGCACCAGCAAGGGGCACCTGCACAATCAAACAACAGCAACAACAACGCAACACCGACGAGCCTCGACGGTTCATCCTACGCACGTGGAAACCAACAGCCAACGGCCTACCTTTGCCCCGTATGAGCCCCAGCGTGGCTCCGTCAGCTTTATGCCACACCCGCAGCCTGCATCCGGACAAGAAAAGACATTGGATGCACTTCAAGTTCAGTCGCAGTTCGCGCACGTCTTAAAACTACAGACGACAAGGCCTTTTGACGGAAAGGATTTCTTTACCTGGTCATTCGAGTTCGAGTTAATGATGGAAGGCGCGCAGATTCTTGGCTTCTTCGACGGGTCCCTGCCATATCCAACACACGGCACACAGTACGACAAGCAGCAGTACACTTATCAGTCAATGATGGCGTACACAATACTGCTGAGAAACATCACTCCAAGTCAGCAACAGAACATACGGTCGTACCGGGGTTACGGCAACTCTGCAGAGCTCGCGTACAACCACCTGAAGAACCTGTATCAAGCAACAGACAGCGTAAATCAAAGTCGGTTAATGGCGCAACTGACGACAGTCGAAATGAAACCAGGCGAAAAAGGGATGGCATATATCAGCCGTTGTCGCGAATTGCGCGACAAACTCCTTCGATGCGGAGGGTCGATTTTAGAAGACGCCTTCGTCACAGTCATCATCGGCGGCCTCGGTCCTCAGTGGCGCTCCACCCGCGCCATACTCCGAGCACATGGAAAGATATCAGAAGCAGCACTCTGCGCCAAAATCCATGCTGAGCAGCAAGATATGGACCTGCAAGAGGAACGACACAAGAAGAAGGCATCAGTGCTCGAATTTGCATTCCACACTCAACGACGCTACAACAACAACAATCGGCATCAACCGAAATCAGTACCTCCGTTCTGTCACCTCTGCAAGATGTCAGGGCATCCTCGCTCACACTGCCCCAACCGACAACAGTCAGTACCTACGCAGCGGCAGCTTCGGCCTTCAAGCAGTCAAGTTGCCTCAACTCAAGCGAGTTCGACTTCTCAAATACAAGCCTCAACGACATCGACGGGACAACCTGCGCAAGGAACAAGAAACATCGTCAGTTGCATGACACGACTGACCGACTCCTGCATCACAGAGTCTCCACCACATTACTCACCGGAAGAACAACTCGACAACAGCACACCTCGCCGCGAGTCACTTCAACCAAATCCAACATACGCAGCCATCGCACAAAGCGAGCCATCCGGGAAGGATACGTGGTTCTTGGACAGTTGCTGTGGACAACACATGTGCTCCTCAGGACGGTTTGTTCAAC